ATTTAAGTGTGACGTTCTTTAGGACAAGCTGCCTGTCAGTCAGAAGTGCCCCCTCGTCCCATCTAATGGTTCAGGCTGATGGCAGACTGCCACCTTCCATAGCAGTGCCTCACAAAGCTATTGGGCTGCAAGGAATGCCTAAAGCAATGGCATATTTCCAGTGCAATCCTTTTCTAAAGACTTCACTTTAGTTACAGATTTATAGATTAAAATCTCTATTTGAAATATTGTTGGGATATTTAATGTCTTTTAAAGAAACATGTTTGTTTGTTTTTTCATTCATTTCACAACTTGATCTCCTTTGACTCCGTCTTGGCATCGGGGCAGTTTTCTGGGTACAGCAATCTTTCCTGACCCTGTTTTTCCCACTGTCACTGTGATGTTTCCCCTCTCTAGGCCTGCCTTTAAACACTCCTCCAAAGCTATCATGGCTCAAATGTTGGCTGTTGTAACTTTGAGACACAAGACTATTTTCATTTGTGTTTTAATTTTAAACAGGAAAGTTAAACCAGGTAGGTCAAACTTTTTTTTCTTTAGCTAGTTTCCAACCAGATTTCTGGGAATTATTAATAGTTGTGTACTCCACATGTGTCTCTCACTGTACGATGCATATTTTATTAAACATTACTTTCTTTTTTAAACTTTTGTTGTAAGAGCAGTACTATTATTAACTCCATTTTACATATAACAGAACTGTGCAAAGCTTGTGCTAAAGCAATTTCTATATGACCCTAAATTTTTTGTTCTCAACTATCACACTCTACTGCTCAGATAATCCTCTGGTGATGTATAATAAAACTATTTCAAATCCCCAGAATTTTGTATTTTCATTAAGAGAGAATAGGTACTCTCTCACAGGTTAACCTAGGTTTGGATTTCAAATTTTTTATCATTGTTTTACCATCCCAAATGAAAGGAGTTTTTAGGGGTGAAATAGGCAGGTTGAGGAAATTTTAGGAATTAACGGGTCCATGGAAAAAGCACAGGGCTACAGAGCTGCAAAGGGTACATTTCCATAGAATAAGGGAGCTGGGAGTAGCAGAAGGTACATTTCCATAAGATAAGGGAGCTGGGAGTGGCAGAAGGTACATTTCCATAAGATAAGGGAGCTGGGAGTGGCAGAAGGTACATTTCCATAAGATAAGGGAGCTGAGATCTGCAGAAAGGTATACATTTACAGAATAAAGGGAAGGAAGCCCCTCACTCAGAGAGGGAAGAAGAAAGTGCAGAGGGAATAGGGAAACAATAAGGGAGAAGAAGGAGGGAACCTCACATACTTCACATGAGGTCTGAACTCTAGAGTTGCGATAGTAACCAATCTCAGAGGGATAGTGACCATTGAGGGGATATCAAGGCACAAAGTTCTGCAGCATTTATAAACTGTAGAGAAAAGGGACTCGGTGGCACTCTTTCTCCCTCCCCACATGGGAGTCTGTACTTATTTCTCAATAAATTTCCACCTTTTGCTATACCACCTTTCGTCTGTCCATGGTTTCATTCCTCGACTCCACCGGACAAGAGCCCAGGAACCATCCTGCCCAGGGGAACACCACGCGTTCCAGTCTAATTTTCCAGTGTCATAATGAAAATGGAGAATTAAAATAGGAACCGAAGAGATTTGCTCTCTATCTCCCTTTTATATTTTCAAGTGATTCCTGTGATTGTCTATGGTTTCAAGAAGTCAGACTATCATATCTGCTCATAGTAGATGAGGTGAAGAACTTTGAGACTCATTGTTTTCCTGACATTGATCCCACCTTCTACTCTTCTGTTTCTGACTCTGTTATTGCTTTTGTATAGTTTCCCTTTTTCAGCACTTCCACTAGTAAAATACCATCTGCTGACTCATTTTTTTGGGGGGGGGGGGCTGTTATGCAAGTCTTAAAGTTTAAGCATATATGAGTCAGTTTGTGCATCGAGGGCAATGCAGCCTGGTGAAGAGAATTCTTTTTCTTTTAAACTATCCATTCATGATTCCATCACCTCCAAAAGTTTCCTTCTGTCCTCTTTATTATTTTTTTTATAATAAGAATACTTATCATAAGATATACTCTCTTAACAAATTGTTAAGTACGTCATACAGAAGGGAACAGAGTTGTGGTGGAGAATTATGAAAGCTGGGTGCTGGCTCTCTTGCCAACAGCATCAATATTAAGAACTTACTCTTAATATCACTTACACTTATCATCTACCAGGCACCGTTTTAATCTTTTAGTTCTATTTCATCATTCAGTAGTCAAGACAATCCAGCAAGAAAGACAATAATATTATTGTCAAATTATAGATTAAGAACCTGAGACCCAGAAAGGAAAAAATGAATTGCTCAAATTTACATAGGTAACAAATGAACGAATAAATCTCTACAGCTTTTGCCAATTAATCTTATATCTATGTACCTAGTCCTTCATTGGTAAAATGAATGGTTTTCAGTAAATGGCTCTTAAGGTTCTTTCTCTTTCTAGAATTGTCTCCCCTTAGCAGTCTTATTTTAACATAAGGAAAATCATGTTTTAACTCTATTCATTTTCTCTCTCTGACATTTTTTGTCTGAGGCTATTTCAATTGTGAAATTTTATCCCTGTAATTCCCTAATTTTATAAACAAAACCTAGAATTCATCAAGTCCTTAAAATTAACATTTTAATTTTCTTTCTGCAGCTTCCAAAACCAAGTATAGCAGCTGCTACATAGTAGGTTTTCACAAAATGTTGAAAGGAATAATATATATATATTTATGTTTATGTGCATATTATTTGTGTCTTGTTTGCTCACTAGATTATAAATTCACTGAGGACTTTATGCTGACATTTGTTTTGGGAATAGGGCAACAATTAGACCTAATTTGGCAAAAGTAAAATTTCAACTGCAGCTCATTTTTTTCTTTATCTTGAGTCCAAAAAGAAACACCATGCAGTGTTTTCTCTGTATTTCAGCATTTTGTAAAGCCAGAGCATTTGGAAGTCTTGTTGCCTTTATTCATTTTTGCAGATGGAGACATTAATCTCTTCTGAGCACATGACAGGTTAAGTTTCCACATTCTGAATATTTTCCAAAATTTGTTACAATGTTTATGGGGGAGCAAGGATTGAGCATGAGATGTAAGTGAAGAATTTAAGGTGCTACTTATCATATTCTTTACATCCCACTAATTATTACAGATGAGTAAACTATTTAAAATCCAAATTTTATAGATAGTGCTAAGAAAAACTAACATGAATCAAGAGTTCATTTTCCTTAGAAAAAGAGTTAGCTTTCACATAAATTATTAATATTCTATGGCGTTGTCATGTATAATTTCATCTTTTTATTTTCCACTCCCGCTTTGGGCTGTCACACACTGCCTATAAAAATTGTTAATTTTAAAGTTGTGCTTGTTCAGCACTTTTTCTTCCTGTTGTTTAGTTTTTATGAACTGGAAAGTTTTAAAATAAAAATCATGCTTGATTGTATTAAACCCTCATTTCTCATAAAGCCTGGTTGCCTGTTTCATATTTGAACAGATTAGAGTTTTTAATGAATAAGCACAAAACTTCAGAGCGAAATAGATTCTGAGATGGATATATACTAGTACATGCAGGAAGTATATTAGGAAGGTCCTTAGGATTTATATCTATGGGATTAAGAGGAAAAGAAAAGTGGACAAGAGAAAGAGTACAACTCAAAGAGTAGAAGAACTACAATAAAGGCCTTAGCTAACTTCACTGGATGCCTAGGAGCTAAGATCATGTGCAGAGCAGTATTACTTGTATGGCTATTGATATAAATTCATAGCCTGTGTGCAAAAAGTCCTTGAAATGTCTTGGTATTCTGCTTTTTCAAATGTACAATTACCAATATAAATCCCTTTCCTAAAAGGACTGAGGAAATTATCTCAATATTCTTTTGCTATGTGGTTGCAGGGTCCTCCTTCCCTGGGGCCAAGGTAGTTCGGTATTTGGTTATTAGGTCCAAACTCTAGCTCAGGTCTGGAACCAGGAGGAAAGAATTAGGACATTCTTTAGTGGGCAACTGCTCCCTGACTCCTAATCATCCCTCTCTGACTGCTTCTGATAGTATGGAGTGAGCAGCAAAATGAATGAAAACCAGTTCTCTAATGAGAACCTGCTTTGTGAACTACCTCCATCATTCTCAGGAGCCCAGACCCCTGTGATGACTTCTATCATCTTGCTATTCATTTTAATTATTGAATTTAATTGACTTAACTCCCAGGCTTTCCTATGGAGTGCATTTTTCCAGAGAAGTGAAATCTATAAGGGACCAAATTAGCAAAAAATAATAAATAAAATCACTTTAAGGAGTTCTATTTCTAAAAGGCATTACTTCTTAATGAGTACATCCTGACTATAACTTAATCACACATGACTGGCTCAAGGTCATATTTGCCCACACTATTCATTGCACTTGTAATGTGCTGGGGTCCAATCCCAGCGGGTCCAGGGGTCCCCAAAGGTGTGGACGGAGTCGGCGAAGAAGGAATGACACAAAGACAGCCTTCAGTTGATCAGCAGCCTAGTCAGGACCTCTAGCCAGGATCTCCAGCCAAAGTTCTGGTCGGAGTTCTGGTTAGGAACTGATGAGGATGTGATGTTTATTGTCTTGTTACATCCGTATTTATACCAGCCGATTTTAATCCTGTCAATTTCTATTACAAAGGTTAGGGCGTTTCTTATCTCCATTCCAGGGAGTAAAGATTATGTAGCTTAACTACCCGCCTGGCACTTAATTAAGGGGTTGTATCCCCTCCCTAACCTCAGGGAAAGATCCCCACCTGGGGAAACAACCTTTCTCAGAGAGGTGACCTTGGTTAAAACACATGGCGCTAAAGGGAGCAAACATATCAAGAACAGTATGCTATATATGCCAGGTCCCTTGAAACATATGCTGTGCAGATGTTTCTTTCCTGCAGCGACTGTGTCAAGCAGCAAGGATGGACCGGCTTCCGGAACCTTCCATGTTCCTGTAAGTAAGTCTCTCTATTGATGAGGGCTTTAGTTTAATTCACCTATTTCCAAAGACTTGTTTGTAGACTATGCAGCAACTTTGTTGTCTTTCCTATATTCAAAATCTGCAAATTCCCTGCTCCCACGACCTCCTCTGAATCCACTACAAAATCCTTGAGGGGTGGTGGAGGTACAAGCTCTACCATCACCACGCCCTCAGCCACCAAGGAAACCAAGACCTCCTCTGCCTCTGTACCCCCCCCCATGGCCTCGGTTTGGATGAAGTGGGATTCCAAATGTTTCAGCATTTAATCTTCTTTCTTCAGCCCAGGTCGGTCTCCATTCTCTATTATAATCACAAGAAATGTTATCAAAGAAGGATTTAGTTTTGTCATAATAGCAATTAGGTCCAAGTGGATCTTCTTCATCTGCATTTCCTTCACTGTTTTGAGTATCAACACCTGAGTCTCCTTTATCTTCACCATTTATAGGCTTCTCCTGTTTCTCAAGTTTATCTTCCACTTTCAATTTAAGTTTATTATGAAACTCTCTGTCAATTTCCTCCTTGTTAAATGGTGCATTTGCACTTTCAAAGTCTTTCTCAAATTTCATAGGACCATCTCGCCGAATACCAAATCTTCCCCTGCCACCTCGATGACTCCCACACCCTCTCCTTGGAACTGAAAGAGCACCTGGAACTATTTGTCTCTTGCTATCATTTCTAAGTTGCTCATTTTCTGGTCTTGAAACTTTGTGTATATCAGCTCGCCTGTGCTCTTGATTCTTTATTGCTTTTTGGCTGGTAGATGGTAAAGGCCTGGTCGATACAGGGCTCCTTCTCCCAACAGGTGCTGGAGCAGGTAAATGGGCCGAGGCAGTCTCTACTGCTTGTTCCATGGTAGGGCTTTTTCTCAAAGGATCTAACTGAGGGCTTGAACAACCTTGAGATAACTGTGTTTTTACAGATCTTGTATCCTGTGTAAAGGCAGAACCGACTGCACTACTTTGGGACAGGGTACCGCTGTTTGATGTTTCTGTTCCAAAGGATGTCAAGGAGCTTCCAGCAACACCAACAGCACCAAATTGCTGCTCAACTAATGAACTTGGACTGAACTGACTGTACATCGACATCCTGCCAAAAGGTCCATAGGAACCCACTGACTGGAATGAAGAAGTAGATGAGCCTAGTGAAGACTGAACGATAGCTGGGTCCTGAGGCAAAGAACATTGTGGTTTTGTCGGCTCACAAGCAGTGAGGTCTTTAATATCACTTCCACGGAATATAATGTATTCAAAGACTTCATCTCGAGGTGGTATTGGATAATCTGTTTGTCTGTCTTCTGTACCAAAGGACCGAACTTTGGCGAGAGCTATGGTGGAGTTCTCGGTGTCGATGGTGTAGAGTATGCCCTCGTAGCGGATCTCCGCCTTGGAGATAAGGCTGATCTTGCTGCTGATGTATGGGGTGTCCCCACTAATGGCGCCGCCACCAGCTGGAGAACCTGGTTTAGGCTTCCTTTCTAATTTAGGGAGCCTGTTTTGAATGGGAGGGCCTCTCTCCTCTCTACTGACTGGAAAGGAACAATGATCATGTTTATGATATTTATTCTCCTTCCGATCAGTAGGCATAGCTAAATTGCTCTTAGATTGACCTGGAGACAATAATGATGTGTCTTCTCTAGGTGGATCCGAGGGACTATTTAAAGTTTGAGAACGTTCAATACTTTCTGCCTCTGGTGCCAAGATGCCACGAATTAAATTCCAGAGGGAAAAGGCATTTTCCGGGACTCTGGTCCTGCGGATGGAAGGTGTGATAATTCATAAATTGCTCTCCTATTTTAGTCCAAGTTGTTAAATTAACAGTTCCATCCTCAGGGACCCATTGACATGCATATTCTATAAAACTTTCTATCTGACTGGGAGTAATCTTAACTCCTCTGCTAGCAAGCAGATGCATTAAAAGATTAATACAGAGTCTTTTTTCTTTAGACTCAGTATGACCCATCTTGTCAATCTAAGTTCTGTATTAACTACCCGCTTACCTTACTTATCCTCTATAGGAGGGGTCTGCAGCACCCTATGGTGCAGTCCTATCTGTCCCAAGTACTTCCCAAGTACGGGGGGACTTACCTAGATGCCCCACGTTGGGCGCCAGTTGCTGGGGTCCAATCCCAGTGGGTCCAGGGGTCCCCAAAGGTGTGGACGGAGTCGGCGAAGAAGGAATGACACGAAGACAGCCTTCAGTTGATCAGCAGCCTAGTCAGGACCTCTAGCCAGGATCTCCAGCCAAAGTTCTGGTCAGAGTTCTGGTTAGGAACTGATGAGGATCTGATGAGGATCTGATGTTTATTGTCTTGTTACATCCGTATTTATATCAGCCGATTTTAATCCTGTCAATTTCTATTACAAAGGTTAGGGCGTTTCTTATCTCCATTCCAGGGAGTAAAGATTATGTAGCTTAACTACCCGCCTGGCACTTAATTAAGGGGTTGTATCCCCTCCCTAACCTCAGGGAAAGATCCCCACCTGGGGAAACAACCTTTCTCAGAGAGGTGACCTTGGTTAAAACACATGGCGCTAAAGGGAGCAAACATATTAAGAACAGTATGCTATATATGCCAGGTCCCTTGAAACATATGCTGTGCAGATGTTTCTTTCCTGCAGCGACTGTGTCAAGCAGCAAGGATGGACCGGCTTCCGGCAGTAATGTACTGGCTGAGGGCTAAGAAGGCAACCACAGTACAGAAGTTGCTTGTACCTTCCCTACATAACTCCAATCGCTTAGATCTTTAGTTATTTTTTCTTATCTGAAACTGTCATTTTGTCCATTCTTCTTTTATTCTATAAAGTAGGAAATAAACACAAAGAAATGAAATGACTTACTAAAATAATCAAATTCTTTAGTGTATGTTAGAGTTACAGTCCAGTTCTATTTTTCTCTACCCTGTTTTCAGTACATGAGTCTAGTACAGGGGTCGGCAAACAGCGGCTCGCGAGCCACATGCGGCTCTTTGGCCCCTTGAGTGTGGCTCTTCCACAAAATACCACGTGCGGGCGCACATGTACAGTGCGACTGAAACTTCGTGGCCCATGCACAGAAGTCGGTTTTGGGCCTGGGCGAGTCTATTTTGAAGAAGTGGCGTTAGAAGAAGTGGGGGGTGTCGGTTGGTCGGGCGACGGGAGACAAGGCACAGAGTTGAGTGAGCCAGTCAGCAGTCTCATTGTGCAGTGCTTAGCGCTAGTCGTGTCCGCAAATGGCGTGCGGGTGACAAAAGTACCTTCTCGAAGCATAAAGTTACCTGTATTTTTCCAACCAGCTGCATATCCTACAGGTATGTTTGTCATCAATTTAAAAATTGTAATTCTTTTGTGTTGGTGGCTTTATTGTTATAAAATGAAACATTTTTTAGGTGCCCTGTTTGAGATGGCTACAAAGAAGAAGCAAAGAAAAACGGAAGACAAAAACCGCGAATTTAAAGTTGAATGTACCTACCTATATAGTTTAAGTTTAAAAAATTTGGCTCTCAAAAGAAATTTCAATCATTGTACTGTTGATATTTGGCTCTGTTGACTAATGAGTTTGCCGACCACTGGTCTAGTACATTGTTCCTGGATTTCTGAAGATAATTTTTTCACTTAGGTAAGGATGCTCATCTGCTCACCATGTCAGTATAATGTTTGAGGGTTTTGTTGGTTTGTTTTTTTGGTCAGAAAGAGTTAATAAGCATTTAAAGGCAGTTGAGATAAACAAGATTTATGAACCTATGAACCACTAGCCAGGCTCACCAAGAAAAAAAGAAAGAGGACTCAAATAAACAAAATCAGAAATGCAAGAGGTGAGGTAACAACTGACCCCACAGACATACAAAGGATTATAAAAAAATACTACAAACAACTCTACTCCAACAAACTGACAACCTAGATGAAATGGACATATTCCTGGAAAAATACAAGCTTCCAAAGTTCAATCAGGAAGAATAAAAAAACCTGAATAGGCTGATAACTACTGATGAGATTGAAATGGTAATAAAAAATCTTCCAGCGAACAAAAGTCCTGGACCGGATGGCTTCACAAGGGAGTTTTACCAAACATTCAAAGAAGAACTAAAACCTATCCTTCTCAGACTATTCCAGAAATTTCAAGAGGAAGGCACACTTCCAAGCTCTTTCTATGAAGCCAGTATTACCCTAATCCCAAAATCATATAATGACACTACAAAGAAAGAGAATTACAGGCCAATATCCCTGATGAACATAGATGCTAAAATCCTCAACAAAATTCTAGCAAATCGGATCCAGCATTATGTTAGAAATATACACCATGACCCAGTGGGATTTATTCCGGGGATGCAGGGCTGGTACAATATCTGCACATCAATAAACATGTTACATCACATAAGCAAATTGAGAGACAAAAATCACATAATCATATCAATTGATGTATAAAAAGCATTTGACAAAATCCAACACCCTTTCCTGATGAAAAACTCTCAGCAAAGTGGGAATAGAGGGATTATACCTCAACATAATAAAGCCTTACATGACAAATCTACAGCCAACATCATACTCAATGGGCAAAAACTAAAACCATTTTCTAAGAACAGGAACAAGACAGGGATGCCCACTTTCACCACTCCTGTTCGACATAGTACTGGAAGTGCTAGCTATTATGAACGGATAAGAATAAATAAAAGGCATCCATATTGTAAAAGAAGTAAAACTGTCATTATTCGCAGATGACATGATATTGTACATGGACAACCCTAAAGACTCCATCAAAAAACTACTAGACTTAATAAATGAATTCGGCAATATAGCAGGATAGAAATTTAACACCCAGAAATCTTTGGCTTTTTTATACAACAATAATGAACTCACAGAAAGAGAAACTAAAAAAAAACAATCCCATTGCAACAAAAAAAATAAGATACCTTGGAATAAACTTACCTAAGGATGCAAAAAACCTGTACTTAGAAAACTACAAGATGTTGAACAAAGAGATAGAGGTAAACATAAACAAATGAAAGAATATTCCGTGTTTATAGATTGGTAGAATCAACATCATTAAAATGTCCATACTACCCAAAGCAATATATAGATTCAATGCAATCCCCATTAAAATACCAACGGCATATTTCACAGACTTAGAACAAACTCTCCAAAAATTCACATGGAAAACAAAAGACCCCGAATAGCTGCAGCAATCCTGAGAAAGAAGAACAAAGTTGGAGGAATCACAATACCAGATATCAAGCTATATTACAAAGCCACTGTTCTCAAAACTGCCTGGTACTGGCACAAGAACAGGCATATAAACCAATGGAACAGAACAGAGGACCCAGAAATCAACCCAAGTCATTATGCTCAATTAATATTTGACAAAGGAGGTAAGAACATATAATGGAGTCAAGACAGTCTCTTCAATAAATGGTGCTGGGAAGTTGGACAGATATATGCAAAAAAATGAATCTAGACCACCAATTTACACCACACACAAAAATAAACTCAAAATGGATAAAGGACTTAAAAGTAAGACACAAAACCATAAAAATCTTAGAGGAATCCATAGGCAGCAAAATATCAGCCATATATCATAGCGCTATTTTTACTGACACAGCTTCTAAGACAATGGAAACTAAAAAGAAATAAACAAATGGGACTACATCAAAATAAAAAGCTTCCACATAGCAAAAGAAACCATCAACAAAACAACAAGAAAGCCCACTGAATGGAAGAACATATTTGCCACTGTTATCACCAATAAGGGTTTAATCTCCAACATTTACAGGGAACTCATACAACTTAACAAAAGGAAGATAACGCAATCAAAAAATGGGCAAAGGACCTAAATAGATGCTTTTTTAAAGAAGACATACAGAAGGCCAAGAGACTTATGAAAACGTGCTCAAAGTCACTAATCATCTGAGAGATGCAAACCAAAAGGACAATGAGATACCATCTCAAGCCTGTTAGAATGGCTATCATCAACAAATCAACAAACAAGTGCTGGCAAGGATGTGGAGAAAAAGGAACCCTTGTGCACTGTTGTTGGGAATGCAGACTGGTGCAGCCACTGTGGAAGACAGTATGGAGTTTCCTCAAAAAGTTAAAAATGAAATTCCCATTTGGCCCAGTAATCCCACTTCTAGGACTATATCCCAAGAAAACAGAAACACCAGTCAGAAAGGATATATGCACTCCTATGTTCATATCAGCACGATTTACAATAGCTGAGATTTGGAAACAGCCGAAGTGCCCTTCAGCAGATAAGTGGATTAAAAAACTGTGGTACATCTACACAATGGAATACTATGCTGCTATAAAAAAGAAGGAATTCTTACTATTTGCAACAGCCTGAATGGACCTGGAGAGCATTATGCTAAGTGAAATAAGTCAGTCGGAGAAAGATAAATATCATATGATCTCACTCATTTGTGGAATATAATGAACAACATAAACTGATGAAGAAAAATAGATCTAGAGTCCTAGAAGCATTGAACAAACTTTCCAACCCAAGAGG